TATCAGATGAGCGTACTTCATATAAACATCATATGTTGTCCAAAAACCAGGAACTACTAAAGATTTCTCTAAAAAAAATCATAACAAGTACCTATAAATATATGACAAAGTAATCCAGGGCTCCACTATATATCAGGGTACTTCCTTTTTATAGGGTTTTTTCTACATTTCAAAAATTGGATGGTAAATAAATCATACCTCAATTTTTAACCTTAAATATAATCAACGGAAATCAAAGCTTCATATCTAACACAACGACATGCAAGTCTAGTAAAGGGACCATGTCCCAATACATGTACTTAATAATGCATTTAATTAACTCTTTTGTGGTGAAGGTAGGTAATGCCCATTAGCTGGGGATGATGTGCCCTTGAAAACAATCCAAGACCTATCACTGTAGACTTTTCAAGGACACATAAGACAGCAGTGTTGATGATATTCTTGCCAAACATTCAATAAACTATGCTAATAAAACTAAGTAGGAGCTATAGCTTACTCCACTTATATTGAACTCACTTATCTTGAAATTTCGCTTATTTTGAAATGAACATAAATACCCAGTTTTTGCCTCTTATATTCTTTGCGTTATATAACAAGTCCACATAATTTTTGAACGGCCAATAATGAAATATTGTACAGAACACAAAACTATATTGGAAAATCAATATATGGAGAACAAGATGTGTTTGTGAAACACTATGCGCCCGACGGCAACAAAGTTCAAAAAAATATTTTCAGAAGATAAATCAAGGTCACAAGGTCATTGACCTTGGTGTCATTTGAAGAACTTCATTAGTGGAGTATGCACACCAAATATGAAGTCTCTATCTGTCAGGGTTCAAAAGTTATGGAGAAAGTTTGCAAAATCTATTTTTAGCATAAAGGTCAGTCAAGGTCACAAGGTCATTGACCTTGGTGTCATTTGAAAGAGCGTCATTGGTTGAGTATACATATCAAATTTAAAGTCTCCATCTCTCATGGTTCAAAAGTTAAGGCGAAAATTTGAAAAAGCTATTTTTAGCAAACAGGTCACAGTCAAGGTCACAAGGTCATTGATCTTGGTGTCATTTGAAAGAACTTCATTTGTGGAGTATGCAAACCAAATATGAAGTCTATATCTTTCATGGTTCAAAAGTTATGGCGAACGTTAAAGTTGACAACAGACAGACAGACAAACAGATAAACAGACAAACAGACAGGACAAAAACAATATACGCCTCGGATCTATCGATCAAGGCGCATAAAAAGATCAAGAACTCTCAAAATCCCCCATCATGGTTCCAAAGAGTTCCAAAGAGTAGGTATGACTTAGGATAGAGCTGAAACGAATGTTCGAACATTCGCGAATGAAAAGTTTTTCACGAATATTCGAATGGAAAATTTGTATTCGAATATTCGGTCACACGTTTAATGCCCGTATTTCATGCAATAAATTGTGTAGGCCTATCCACTAAGTTTTTTGATTATGGTGGAAAAAGAAGCAAACGAAAGCAAATACATGTACAAGACAGGTTGTAAACTTTGTCCACATGGTACTACTGGCCTGATAAAGACACGACCTCAAATTTATTTAATCATCTTCAAGCCAAATATTCATCAACCTCATTTGACATGTATCTCCGATTTAATTTAGATATATGACATTGACCGCCAAGATAATTGAAAGTAATAATATTGTGCAGAGAAAAATATTATGGACCAACAAACAGAATTATTTTTTAAGATTTATAATTTATAAATAATTGCAGAAATCATATATGAAAAATATACATTATATTATACTTACTTTTTTGAGAATGTTATATATTCTAAATTTAAATATAAATTAAAACATTTACAGGAGGTTTCCGGAAACGGACCTTTTTTTGTTTTGTTAATATAAAAGTAAAACATGGCGAGCACCTGTTGGTTGTGTGATTGCAGTTATACGTAATCGGAATGCAATACAGTGACCTAATTTAAAGAAGCTTATGATTGTTGATAAAGATTCTTTTTCTAATTTATTTTTTTTCTTGAAAATAAACGCGAGTCCTAATGTACTTTGTCCTGTACATGTCAAACGATTAGAACAGACGTTTTTTTCTTACATCTATCTTAAATACAAAGATATATTGTAAGAAACAATAGGATTTGTAAGTATATGAAAAGGCATAATAACTCCTTTATTTAATTACCGAATGTTCGAATACGAATCGAATAACAAGTCACGAATATTCGAATGCTGATTTATGGTATTCCTTTCAGCTCTAACTTAGGATGAGCATTTTTTCTTTTTACACATGAAGCCTATATATCATCATTTCTACTCAACCCAATCTATTTTACAACATGCTGTTTGCTAATGATATCTTTAGACTTTAAAGATGTCTAGTTCATCAAAATGTGTATAAATCAAAATTTTATTATTTTACACTTGATATAAAAAGTTTTACCTTGAATGTCACATCTTTGTGAAATCAGAAAACACACAGCATCATCAAGGTAAACCTTAGAGTTCTAAAATTAAAAAAAAAATACATTATTCAAAACTTTTTTACAATTTTATACAATCAATAACATTGATGAACAGAAGAACATTTTGTAAGAATAAAGAGAAAGTGGATTTAATGTTTTTAATCAATAAACCAGGGAAAAAATTTTCTTAATTCAATTAATTACCCAAAATATTTCTGCCATGCGTGCTAAATTTGAAATTCAACACTGAAAAAAAAAATCAACAGGTTGACCTCCCAAAATGGTGGCCATGGGGAATAACTCAGAGGAAAAATATATATTAACTATAAACCATAGCTAAATAAAAATTAAATGTAAATATCTAGCAATTTTATTCTTCCATTATACTGGTTGAGACCAATTGCCCAAATGGGATAAAATAGTCCGTTTGGGATATACTATCCCAAATGGGCTATAAATTTACAAAGCAAAAATTGAAGATTTTTATTTTGGCTATGAATATCATATATCCGCATCAGAACACTTAAAAAAGATAACTTTTGGTTGACAAGTTTTCCTGCATGCCCATTGTTTAGGAGATTGATCCCTCGGAAGTTCCTTAACTTCTTGGGGATCAATCTTACAAACTTTAGGGTTGCAGAAAAACTTGCTTACCAAAAGTTATTCGTTTATAAGTGTTTTGATGCAGATTTATGATATTTATTGCCAAAATAAAAATTTTCAATTTTTGCACTGTAAATCTATAGCTCATTTGGGATATTATATTCCAAATGGACTATTATATCCCATTTGGGCTATTGCAAGGATTTATCAAGGCTGTTTTTACTACCGGTAAACGGTACCTTTCCCCTCTTGAAAAAAGTGAAAAATTCCCCTTTTAAGATAGAAAATTCTCTGATTAAACAGAGAATATTTAAAACATCGTACTGAAATTTTCCGTTTTTGTCCGATTGAAGTTTAACAGCATATTCTAATTTACCATCCTAGTCATTCAAACGCTTTTAAAAGAGAGAGTAGAATATTCAAGCTTCTATTTGATATTGATCGGTAAACATGTGCCATGTCCATGATGTCAAAATATACGTCTGGATTGCAGAGTTAAGAAGAAAAGTGTAGATTAGTAAGACGGAGCTTATATCACTATGGATCGGAAGAATGGAGTAACAACAAAAACAATGTTAGTAGTGAAACATGAAAAACAGAATTGATTTGTGATAGATATTGAGAGAAAAAATTAAATAAAGTATTGACCTGGTTTAATTTTTTTTTTTTTTTTGTTAATTAATATTTTGTCTAAAAAGTAAAGTTTTTGTTGCCTTTGTAAAGGTCTACAAATGGCCTTCAGAAGCTCTAAGAATGCAGGATTTTGCTCCATTTATTTAAAAATTTTCCGGGGGGGGGGGGGGGGGGGGGGCATGCCCCCGGACCCCCCTAAGAATTTCGCGCCTCCGGCGCTCAGATCGAGCCTGCGGCTCTCATTTTTCCCCTTTACATATAAAACGGTAGTAAAACAAAATAGCTAGATAAATCCCTGTATTGGTCCCAACCTGTTATATGGATCAAATGGTATCCACAATCACAAAAGGTTTGTTATGATATTTTCAAAGTCACATATGTGACTTTATTTAATTTCTAAGAAGTCATTTTGGAATGATTTTGCAATTTTTTCTGCAACATTGCAGCTCAATGGGAGACATTTCAACTATGGTAACGACTGTCTTGATAGATTATTCTAGTTATAAACTGACTGAAAATGCATGATTAAAATAAGTAATCAATTCCATACAAGTGCATGAATGAAAATATATTTAATGATAAGGGGAGGCATTCCTATATAACAAATAATAAATGGTTAAATACTCAGTGATGATATTCACTGAGTGTTTTACATGTACCCTATAAACATTAATTCTATAAAATCATTATGAAAATACTACAGATAACCAATTTTGTCAAAAATGATTGAAAAAAATTAAACAAATAGTCAAACTATAATAGCAAAAAATATTAATGGTGTCTTAACTTATCTGTGTATTTTAGAGTCAAGATTAACGATATATTTGAGGCTGACCTGCAAAATGCACAAGAAAACAAGACTTGACATGAATATTTGGCACGTTTACAAGACCTATTTAAAAAACAAATCTGCAAGTTACTATTGATTAGTTATTGGAATATTATTTATTTTCATGAAAAAGAAAACATAAAAGTGGTTGAAACATAGCAAATTACCAAGAAAGTAACATATTCAAGTTGCCAATTTGTCCTCCGTGGTCGCCATATTTCGTTGGCATCTCCTAAGGCTTCTTGATTTTGATTGGTTGACGAGAATTGTCTTTCGATCCCGATATGTTTGAGTCCTTGATTAGATTTAGAGATTTAGAGACCCTGTAAAAATTTCTCGCAGGATATTATTTTCCTTTAAATTGGAATGTAATTCTATCCATGGTTAAACATATAATGAATACATCACTTAAGAATATCTTATGAAAAAAGAAGATAATTTACCTCGGACTCGCTGTCATGCTTAAATTGGTCACATGATTTCAAAATGGCAGACGACGTGAAACGAATGTATTTCTTAGTATGCAGTATTTTTTATTTATATATTCCAATTACTTTATGCACAGGGAACGACAACCAATTTGTGGAGGAATTTTCATTTGATTCATCAATCAGAAAAATTAAGGATTTCAAATTTAATTCATTACAAGAGGAAAAGGTTAATATTGAAAACAACAATATAGTTTTAAATAATGTGCGTTTAAGAAAAGAAGGTCATTTACTGAAGGATGGTGAAGTGATGGTCCTTAAGCCAGGAGACCCGGCACATTCTTTTAGCTTGTGGACACTGTCAGGAAAATTTGAATATCCCTCCAAACAACTAAATCGAGTGCCTTTAATAATACATTTCTTTGACCCCACAAGTTCTGCATTTCTAGATTGTCTATGGAATTCAGATGAAGCACTTTTGCCTATTGTTCAAAATGATATGAGAACACATTTCCTTCTTATTCCTTCTGCTGATGAAGTACATGCACAATATGGGGCAGCGTGGATGTATAATAGAATAAATACATTACTAAAAAGTATTGTAAGGTATTTATGCAAGTTTTTCTTATATAGGATTTATAACTTATGAATGATCTTTAGTGTTCATTAGTTATCCTGAATTATAACATAAGTTTTGATTGGATAAGAAACTAATGTAGTAAAACACACATATAACAAACTACCAGGCCTGAGAGACATATAATTTTGCTTCCTTTAGTTAACACATGCTTAATGTAATTTGTTACATCCATTTAGATCACAATATATTTTAGAGTCACTAGGAATAAAAGTTACTTTGTGGTAAGCATCAATTCTTTTTAAGCATGTATACTATAGGTGTGTTTTACTATATTAACCTTGAAAGATTTCTACTGAAGTTGTAGGTAAATCAAACTCTGGATTATTCACTGTAATACATGTATCTTTATATTGTACTGTACATCATGTACATAGAATACAAAGCATTTATTTTTTATTTCATAAAATAAACATAGAGTTTTTTTAATCTTTTATAACTAATTGATATACTGAATATTTAAATAAAGTTATTTTGTTTTTAGGTCAGAGGCAGAGAGAAAGACCACAATGAATCGGTTTCATTTTTCAGTGCTTCCACTTTGGAAACTTGGGAATTGGTTACCAACATTACTGAGGGAGTGGGAGTGTGTTGATCATAACTGTGGATATGACCAAGTTCTTATCCAGTCAGATGGTACTAACATTTTTTATATCTACTCTGCTGAAATCTATAGACCATGCTGAAAAATGCCTATTTACAGTACATTTTATTCCCTCAACTTTTTGAATGATGTGTATTTACTCCTGATTCCTCTAGTCTTGTTAGTAGGAGGATCAGAAAAAGTATAATAACTTCTGTATTAGTTAGACTAAAAACTTGATAAGGTGAAGGCCCAATAACACCCATGCAGTTTTATTCATCAATTACATGTATCTATAAAATCTGTACGATCTATTGAATAAGAAGTTCAAAGTAAGGGAACATGTATACTTGGTTTCATATTTTAATGGGCTATAAATTTCATGGTTTTTGTTTGTTTGTTTGTGCTTGCTATTAAACTTTTTTAAAAATTTCAATGAAAAATTAAGTCTTCTTTATATTATCTTACATGTTTATTGTTTCAAACAGCATTAGATTACCCTACAGTGCTAAAGAGGCTAGATGCACACTATGATTGGTTACCAAGTCCAGTATCTGTATTTGGAAACAAAACACTGCCACTGGTTCTTACAAACTCAGATGGATGTCAGCCTAGTACCAGTGTCAATGGTTCAGTTGCTCTTATAACAACTGGAGGATGTTCATATTTCAAAAAGGTATTAACCGACATATCAGCAAAAAGGAACTATAATTTATTTTAGGGAGTTATTTACTGGCGTATTATTTTTATCTCTGAACAGTACCGGGTATTTGTCTTAAAAGCATGCTTTATAAACTTCATTAAGTGAATTTTATGCAATACTTTATATATTGTTACAGATAACTAAAAAAATGATTAATACTTTCTGGTGATTTACGGTCAGTTTAAATTTGCCAGCCTAACTTGTATAAATTCAGTTTTCTTGAATTTGATTTCCCGTATAAACTGTGATGTTGCTGTATGTTCCTAAAACTTTCTCTTGTCTATTATTCAACAATGGATTTAACAGTCCATTTTTTCTATGAAATTGATTTTAATTTCATATGATATCATACATGTATTTTAGGTTCAAGTGATGCATGATTCAGGAGCTATTGGAGTTTTAGTGATGCAGAATAAAACAGAAGCACCACAAGACATGCAATGTCAAGACAATGAGTGTAGCAGCCCTGTACAAATCCCTGCCAGCATGATTGAAAACTTCAGCTTTCCTCCCAAGTCAGTATAGCTAATTATTAACAACATTTAGCCTATTCTTGGCCTTTTTTATGAACTTACTATGTATTTTATCTTTTTTTTATTTCTGGCTTCATTTTCAGGTCTCGTCTCAATGTAACTTTCCAGAACACACCTTCCCCAAACTTCTTTGCAGCCATTGATCCTCAGGGCTTACTACAGGAAGTTGGGTGGTTCCTCTATCCCTCAATGAGTTTCATTAACTGGCAAACACAGTGGTAAATTGTCCTTTTTATTTCCTTATCTCACTTAAATTTAAGATTTCAAGGTAAAGGTTCATAAATTCATGTTATGTTGTGGAGATGTTATGTTTTTAGAGAAAATAGAGAACAGCTGCACAAAAAATATTATAAAACTTAAAATTTACTTTTTAATTAGATGTTGCATAATATAAATAATTTTATAGATAAGAAAGTTTTTTGTTTTTGTTCCACATTATATCAACGTCTTGTTTTCCCTACATTTAAAACAATCCTTTTCAAGGTTTCAGTACAAAGAAAATTTGACTCAAAGGTTACAGAGACCAGCCCAGGTCATCCAAGTTTTTAAAGAACAAGTCATGCAGGGACAAGCAGGAGTGGTTGCCAACATTTCTACAGCACAGTTAACAAGTTAGATTCCCATGATCTTCATACTAATTGTAGAGGAATCATAGTTTTTACCCTGGCCTTAATTGTAACCTTTAACTGGTTCAAATGAACTCCTTTGATTAAAGTTATTCAGCAATCTCTGCCCAGAGTTATCATTCTCGCTACTCTCCACTTATTGTGACATAGTGTAATATGTCGTCTACTGAGAGATTGATTCAGCATCTGACCACAATCATTATAATGACTTATATAAAATGACTTACATGAAATGACTTACAATTTGCATTGTAATGCAAATTCAGGAAATATGACATTATATATTTTGCATGATCCCATCAAACTACGTATTTCTCAAAGATTTGAGTTACTTAATGTAGACGTACTTTGTTCCACAAGGTCATAATTCCACGGAATCTCAATTTCCATTTAATCCGCAGATTGAAAATTACGCGAATTTCTCAGACTGTTACTATGTGTCTTTTATTTATATTAAGTACTGTACAGCAGGTTAAAATCGCGGACGGAAAAGATCGCGATTTGTTCAATTTTCAGCAAATCGCGGTCGTTTGAATTCGCGCAAAGGAAAAAAACCATATATTTTTTAAATAGTACTTGCAAGCATTTTTCTTTAGGTATATATTGTGTGAACCTTTATTTTCAGTCTCTATCTTACGAAAGTATGTTCTTGTATATCGCGCATATCAGACAGGAGAGGCAAGTCTATATATTGTGTCAATTTTGAGCCCGATTAAATAATATATTTAACGAAACACCGGACTGATCCTGATTTGAAGTCAAAATAATGTTACGCATGCAGAATATTTCCGAGGCCAAATAAAAAAATATATAGTAGTCAAATTGTTGAACTTTTAACCATATAATTGAAATAAATTAATTGTCTTTATAATTACCCTGTTTACTTCGCAAGTGCCTTGATTAAAGGTAATGGCTGAGTGATACACACGGGTGAAATTATACAAGTTTGTTTAATTAAATAATTACATTGCACGTCTACTAGATGGCAAACTACTGTAATCGTTAGCTATAAAAATTTAACAATTAATAAGCTTTACAAAACACCAACAACTACGTGTTTGTATACACTCTCATAATTATAATGACAGTCTACATCTAATCACAGATAATAATAAAATTTCAGTTTACCCTTATAAATCTTTTCAAGAATTATTCACTATATGTTGAATTCGCGGAATTTCTTTTTCCGCGAATATAGCGAATATTAACTCTGCGAGTTAATTTCCTGCTGTACAGTATGCTTGGACAAATTTCCATAGAAAATTTGTGACCGTTTACATAGCGTAAATTAATACCAAGTGGAAAAAAGTACTTCTACAGTATATATATAAATATTGTATATTATATGTATAATTGTATATTGGAATAAGATTTTTTTGGCTGCAAGAAAGAAAAATTCAAAAAGTGATTAAAAAAAATCTTATGATTAAGATGATTGTCTAATAACTTAGTTTAAAGATCTGCATTGTAATCTGAAGTCAGCTAATTAACACTTTCGTGTTTCTTTTACATTTTAATAATTTAATATTTTGAAAATGTACACCATAATTCAAATTTGTCACTCTTTCAGACTATCAGGGATTAGAGCTGGACATGTCTCTGTCTTGTCCTGGTGACAAGGATACAACATGTGGTCATTGGGATCATGGGATCAGTTTGTTTGTTTGTTGTAATCCCAAATCCCCTCTCTGTGGAATGGAGATAGGAAGATGGATCAGTCCATTTAGAAGGTTGGTAAAATTGTTCATATTTATTCTGTATGATTTAAGAAAACTGCACTTCCACATTTTCTATATGCAAGGAAGATTTCATGTACTTGAAATGAAAACATGAGGTCTCTTCTTAGTCTTTTCTTAATAAGGTAAGTCTCAAGTGGCAACTGATTCAACTGATGCAATCATTCCAACATTCTCTAGAGTTATAATAAGTATGTGTCAATGTACCCAGAAGGACAGTATAGAACCCAAGAGGACCTAAAAGAAACCCCAAAAGACTGGCAATTGGTTTTTATGACTATTGTTTACTTAAAGGTGCATGGACACAGATTTGAAGTTAATATTTTCTGTATAACGATAACATTTCACACAAAAATAAATAAAAATCTTATTTCATCTAAAAGTTATTAAAACTTAAAATTTTTAGACGTGTTTGTCTGTTTGATTGACACATCCTTGCACTTTCACAAATTTTAATTTTATTCTTAATACTTAGGAAAAGCGGCAATCTTGTTGTGTATAAATGGAAAATATTAAAACTATAATCCAGAAAATTCAGAATAGATATGTTCAAAAGCAAAACATACACACAGTTTATTGTCAGTCCGTGCAGTTGTGATGAGCAGACTTTAACAATTGAACGCACCCGTTGAATAGTAATCATCAACAATATTAAACAGAGCTCGTGCCCTGTTTACAAAAACTGTGTACATTTCACGGGTGTGGACAATTTGCTAAACTCCGTACACAACACTTAGCGTGGAATGACGATACTTGTGAAGGGGTTTTGCTTTCTAACATTTCTACTCCGAATATGATTATTTTCTGGATTAAAGTTTTAATATTTTTCAATATAACACAAGATTGCCACTTTTCCTAAGTATTAAGAATAAAAATTAAAATTTATGAGAGTGCAAGGATGTGTCAATCCATCCAAAAATTTGAAGTTTCAATTAAGATGAAATAAAATCAATATATTTTTGTGTGAAATGCTATAAAATATATATGTCGTGATATTATACAGAAAATATTAACTTCAAATCTGTGTCCATGTACCTTTAAAATCAGTATTGTTTAATATTCGTATATCATTATATGTTCCTTTTGAGTTCTTTTGGGTTTCTATTGGGTCCTTTAGGATTCCTTTTTAAGCCTATTGGTTCTTTTGGGTCCATTTGTGTCCTTTTATGTTAAATGATGCATTTAAGTAATAGTTTTGTCTGAGTCCTGATCAGTTGGAATGAAGTGGGCCAAGACAGGCATCTTTAGTTTAAAAACAGACTCTCATGAGTGTTTGCCTACCAGCATGCTTTTGTTATGCATGACATCCAAGGGTATATAATTATACAGTGTTACATTTAATTTTTACCAATTGTTAGTAGTAAATAAAGAATTTCGAGTCATTTTCAACATACATGCATAACAATAATTTTTTAAACAAAATTATAGTCCCAATATGTTCATCAATATTCATTTCCTTCATCAAATGTTGAGTGTGCCTTATTACATGTACATAAGAAGATGGCTAGTGCAAATGACTTCAGGATATATTTTCCTCCAATTTATGTTTTTTTCTTTTTTTTTTTTAAAAAAACATCTTTTTTTTCTTTCATTGGGTTGTGTTAGTAAAGCAAAGTTCCTGTAAATCCTGAATATCCACCTTGACACATTTTAAGATTTCCATCACCTACATTATCTACTTTCACATGCTCACCATTCTTCAGTTTTACTATCACAGTTCTGCTTGTCTGATTCCAAGGACCCTCATTTTTAGGAGAATATATTCTTGCTACAATTTTCTTGTTTACTTTTATGGCAAACCAAGCTTCTTTATCAGAGAGATTATCAACAACAAACATGTATGTTCCTGCCACTGGACATAAGAAAACTCCTGTTCTATCATCATATCCATTTCCATCATTTGTTAGAATTTGGTCATATTTAATAGTCTGATCCTTTCCAATGACAAGAGATAACAGAAAAACTGACTCCCTTTGTTGGTTTTGATGAACCTGCAAACGCATTGTTTACTACATTATTCTGACATCACTGGCTCCATTGAAACTTGCTGGATTAACTAACATTCTGGATTAGACAATATTTTAAATATGGAATTTACTAAAGAGACAAACAACATTCTATGCAGAATTTTGGAATACACAATATCTGAATTAGACAAGTTTTACTGTGTTTTTTAAAATAAAAATCATGGACATGCAAATACCAATGTAAGAAACCAATTAATTCTATACTCAAAATTAACCATTTTTATTCCCCCATATTAATGCAGTACGTGTTTTTCCTGTTTAATGTTATGTCTGCGTAAAAATTTCTATTCCTTCTTTTATTAGCTTAATTTCAAACATATTGTCAAGATTTGAAAAAAAAAAAGAAATGCTTAATAGAAATAATACTTTGAATGATATAAAATAGTTATGTCATACAATATTTTAGTTCTGCTGGTCAGGTACCAGAAGACTTTATGCAAATGTAAGGTGTCAATCATTTATCTGCCTTGCATAATTTTGTATTTTGGTTTTTGATTTTGATGAATGTTGTTACAATGGTTTCTAAAAATAGAAATTTCTGGGAAATACTTTCTGCTTTAATGAATATATAATATTTTAATTCTATTGTAATCTGACAGCCATGCATTCTATAAATGTGAAAAGACATGAAAATGGCAGAATGCTAAAATTTGTTCTTTGAACACTTTTTATTTTGTGGGTTTCTGGTCCATATATAGTATTCAGGTACAAAGGGTCTATCAGAAGCTTGGGTTATTGATTTCTTTTTCATTCTGGTATTTTTTTTAAATTGTCAATACTTAAAAATGCTACATATATGTGCATAAATGATGCAGATTGCAAAATGGAAACTCATGTTTTTGATATTAAAAAAATGTACCTGATGTTGATAGTTTGACCAGTTCCTTCAGAGATGTAGAGTCCAGTGTAACTGTAGCCTTAGCATTACTGTAGATCAAAGACTTTATGGAATTAAGCTTTGTCCGTGTTTCTGACATTTTAGTCTGTATCCCTCCAGATGTAGGGTGATAGACATTAATTACAAATGCCAAAGTCAACATCACTGCTTGAAAATACATCAGCATTTCTTGCCTTTTAAACAATATGCAAAATATTATCAGAAGATAACAATCAAAACCTTCAGAGACTAGCTATTTATAATAAAGGACATTTGCATCTGTTACAGTTAAACCTCATGAAATAAGTAAATCAAAATATCATGTTACAAAAACTCATTCTCTTGTAGATCTCATGCAATAAGGTGTCCACTATCCCTAGCTGACTACAAACTGACATTGACTTTGTATCTCTTATCTCTTTGAATCTTTTTAGGCATTTAACAACAACTTATCTGGATAGTTTAATTTCACTGTGACCTGTTTAAAAATTTCTTAGGTCTTCACCATTTTTTAAGGGGAAAAACTTAACAGAATGTTGGAAGAAGAATCCCTTCCACGTACCTTTTAGATGTTATGAAAGCCTTTATAATTCAGACACTTTGTATAAAAATAAAGTTTCATAGAACTTACAGAATAAGGTAAAAATTGCAAACTCTTTGGTATAATTGTGTCATACAGTATCACATGCCTGAATAAATGGAATTTTGAAAGAAAAATTCTTGTTTCAATGGAGTTTTACTCAGTAACATTCAGGTAGAAAAAATGTCATGTTTGAGGCTGTGCTGCATCAACATGCTAGGCCACTGCTTACAAAATCATTAACAATATTTCTTAAATAATAATAAATGTTTATGACTTGTGATGTATTCTAAAGAGAGAAAAGGTAATGCTAATTAATTGTGTCCAACTTTATTGATGTACCTAAAATGCATGATTTTAATTTAATGCATGACACTTGTCCATGAATTTTCTGATATTTACCCTTTTTAAGATACATAATTCTTTTGTTGATTGGATTTTGATGTTCAGAGGGATTGTTATCATGGTTATTACAAATAGAATATTTTTGTAAAAATCTTTCAAAATGCTACTGGTTTAATTTCATGAAGACTGGATACACAAGTACACTCTACTAACTAAAGTTACAATCCTGTTTATCAGATGTTTATTTGACAAATGTTTTTTTTTTATCATGGACTAGTTACTAAATAAGAAATCTCTGTGATTTTTTTTTTCCAAAAAGCTACTCCTCATACAGATTGAGCCCAATTTCCATAAGGTATTAATACACTAGACTTTATAAAGATACACTGATAAACACAAAGGTAGAGCTAAAGTCTCATTAGAGACATCATGTTAATTGACACAGTACATGTATTTTCTTGCATTTGTATTCACTTCCTTTATTTTTCAGGAGAATTGGTCGCTGGTTGACTGATATTTCTCCCTTGCTTCCCATGATTCAGAACAACCAATCAGCTGTCTGTAAATTTACAATGAAAACAGCACCCTGGGCAATGCCTTGGATACCTTCGCTTAACCTTAGACTTTACAAAACAAATGGTAAAAAGACATGAAAATACATGTATTTGTTCTTTTTAGAGATTTATATTTAGTGGATGGACTGTACCTTAGATATTACATTTTACTCTTTATTGTAAAATATTTTTTTTTGTAAAAATTTGTTTTAATTAGTACATACAGGGTACATAAGAGTCATTTTCACCTGTGCAATTTTTGCCCTTTTGCACTTGCAAACAATTTTGCCCCATTTTAAATTCGCCCATCCATAGTCCTGTTTAAGAAATCATGCTGTGTAATCTAAATTCGCCCCGTTTTAAATTCGTTAATCAAGAAGAGGGCAAAAGGGGTGAAAATAAGATGGGGGCAAAAATTTCCTTAATACAGTAGTATGTGGGATCTGCTTGATTTAGTCAGATTTCTGGTTCAAATTGTTATTCACTTTAAAAATTTTGTATGACACAAGGATTAGAATTTTATATAATTTATAATTCTTATTTTTTAGATATCATTTCTCCATCAGAAACTTTTGTGCTATACCAACCGGGTGCAACATTTGACAAACATTATAATTCTCATTTCAAACCATACATCTTCACCCCTCCAACAGATGTCAAGAAGGCAAGTCATTTGTATAAATCTAAGATGATTAGTGGCATTAAATTATGACAATATTCCATAATTGTTTGCATCAGTCATTTTATATCAGTCTTACCAACAATAACTTGATAAGAAGTGACTTTGCAAGTTTCGAAAATGAGGGTATTTTTTGTTTACTCTAAAACAGTTTAATAACTGAAAATATGATACAATTTAAACTTTATAAACAAGATACATTGTATAAAATTTTAGGGATTGCTATCACTTTGTATGCATCATGTTGACTTTAGAGACACTGAAATTATTTTAGTAATTTGTTTTACTGTACACCATGTAGGTTGTGATATTTGCTGTGATAACTGGTCACGGAAGTGATGAGAATGGCTGCGGAGAATTCTGTGTTACTTCTCATCATTTTTCTGTCAATGGGCATATCAATAATATAACGTTCAGTGAAGCAGGTGAGTAATCTTCCTTAGAAGTTTTTGTTTATGACTTAGAACATCTTTTTATATAAAAACCTGCTCAGGTACTGTTCATCGCTATATTAACAGAAAAGATTAGTGTACATGAAAACTGGATCATGCATCAATGTCTTTGTTTCGTTTTCATTCTTTGTTACTTTAAAGCATATTTGTCAAAAATAGAAAAGTTAAAAATAATTCAAATAAAAAAAAAAAATTAAACTAATAGTTGAAGTATTACATTCACCAGTACTTTACTAGTTGTCATCATATAACTTTCCACTGAGAATTACAGTTAATTCATGCTTGTACACTTTGCCTAGCTTTCTAATTTAATATTTTTTCTTTTAAATAGGAACACCTCTTGGATGTGCCAACCAAGTTTTAAGTGGTGTAGAACCAAATGAACATGGTACTTGGTTGTATGGTAGAAATGGTTGGTGTGATGGTAGAAATGTGTTTCCTTGGGTTATTGACATTACTCAACAAGTTTCTCTTGGCAAAAACAATCAAATTACTTACTTTGGCTGGTTCAATGGAACTGATCCAAATCCAAAACAAAACCCAGGAATGATATCAATTTATTCATATCTAGTTTATTATAGATCTTGACTGTACTGTTAAATTAATTGTAGTGTATGGACAATTTTTCAACAACGAATTTTAAACTTGCAGAGGACTTGAAAAGATATGGACCACAATCATGTAATCAATTTTGAACCCTTCTCAAATGTAAAACGTGATATCATCACACCCTTTGTTTATTCCATTTCTTTACTTACTACTGTATCTCATCACACCCTTTGTTTATTCCATTTCTTTACTTACTACTGTATCTCACTTTTTTAAAACAGTGCCAAAATCTATGTATTTATTTAAATGAATTAACAATGATCTTGGTTTATTAGATTTTATATTTAAATCTTGTCATATCTGATGTTACTATAATTGGAGTAATCCTGCTTACATGGTAACTTAAGACCCATAGGTAACAAGCTAAACTGTATAACAGTCAGATTAACAATGTTCTAAAGGTGTGAATTGGAGTTGTACTTTTATTGATAGTTGTAACACATGTGCAGATTTTGTTTAAAGTTAACATTTTGATTTTAAATCTTGATCTTCCCTCCTAGTCTCTGAACTTCTTTTGTGTTCACACAAGCAAGGATGCTGTCTTGTAAGACATACATTTGTAACACAGTAGATAAAGAAAAATATTTCAATATGACAACAACTATTGTTCATAGCTTCCTGTTATTTGTTTTCCAAATTACTTTTTGACATATTTTGTTCAATTTATATGTAAGCATTCCAAAGAATTGCAAAGGTGATTTTTTTTTCCCCATTTTCTTTTGTTTTGGTTTTTTTTGTGTGTGTATAATGGACCGTATTTTTGACCATATTTTTTTTGACAAATAATTAAATGTACATACATGTATAAAGCCATTGCATTCTGATTTTATTAACTCAACTCATGTACCATTACATTAGAAAAAAAATAAAGACATATATTTTTTTTTTTTTGATTGATTTTTTTTTGTGCATTTTGTAATGAATCATTGTGGTTGTCATCTTTGCTAGCCAAGAGTTTCTAATCCTCTACTCTCCTCACAAATTCCTCAAAAAGTAGAGATTTTCTGCAGATTGAAATTCCAAACAAATGCAACAAAGCAGAACTCCTGGCTACCTATGATGTTTTAACTTCTATACAATGTCTTGACATTTTGTTTTTAGTAAAGCAATGTTCCAGTAAATGCTGAGTATGCACCCCTATATATTTTAACATTTGCGCCTTTACCTACATTATCTACTTTTACGTGATCACCAACTTTTAGCTTCACAATTACATTTCTACTTGTCTGGCCCCATCAGCTCTTCTCATGAAGTGACCTATATATTCTTGCTACAGTACGCTTATTTACTTTTAAAGCAAGCCAGGTCTCAACATTGGAAAGAGTATCAACAACGAACATGTAAGTTCCCGCCACTGGACACATGAATACTCCCGTTCTATCATCATATCCATTACCATCGTTTGTTAGAATTCCATCATATTTAATGGTTTGTCCTTGACCAACAGTAAGATGTTCAGACCCAACATAAACGGAAAAACTGACCCCCCTAGTTGATTTTGGCGAACCTACAAAATACAATTCTTAACAGCGTGAAAGAAAATTATTGAACATATAAGAATACGAATAAAAATATCTTGGAATCAACATTTATGCATGACAAGTATAAAGCCTAGAATGCAATGCTTACAATGTTTTAATGATCTTTATCTTGTATTTCCTAATCATTGTGTGTTAACGTTTCTTGAAATCTGATTAAACATCAGTATTTTCACTTTAGATGAGAATCTGAGTAAGAGGACAAAATATTGACAATATTTGAGATGATGCAATTAAAGGTCAAGATTGATTTTTTTGTACTATATATCTCAAGGCCGATATTTTCAAGTCTTCTACAGCTGTAATGTAAGCATATAATAAGCTACATCTGTTGAAATAGGAGTCACTTGGTCAATAATTAAGGGCAATAGGTCACTGATATAATATAGTGGGATCTGCATAATTTTTTTAGTTTTCTGATGCAAATTGTAAATCACTTTAAAAATTTTGTCTGAAACAATGATTAGAATTTTATATCATTTAGTAACACTTTTTTTCAGATACCATTTCTCCATCGGAAACTTTTTGTGTTACATGTATACCAGCCTGGTGCAACATTTGACAAACATTATAATTCTCATTTCAAACCATACACCTTCACCCCTCCAACTGATGTCAAGAAGGCAAGTCATTTGTGAAAATCTAAGATGATTCATGTGATTAGTAGCATTAATTATGATGATATTCCATAACTGTTTGCATCCAATCATAATTTTATATCCTGTTTTACTTACGATGACACTTTATTGAAAAGATGTGACTGCAAGTTTTCAAATATGAGGATATTTTCTGTTTGCTATAAAGCAGTTTAATAGTAGAGAAAATATACAAATTAGACTTTAAATGACGATATTAAATTTTAGGGCTTGTTTCACTTTGTATTCATCATGTATATTGAAATTATAATTTAGTAATTTGTTTTACTTAACTCCTTGTAGGTTGTGATACTTTCTGTGATAACTGGTCACGGAAGTGATGAGAATGGATGTAGAGAATTCTGTGTTACTTCTCATCATTTCTCTGTCAATGGACATATCAATAATATAACCTTCGGTGATGCAGGTGAGTAATTTCCTTTAGAAGTTTTTGTTTGTGGCATAGAATATCTTTATATTGAAAGATATGTCCAGGTACTGGTCATCCCTATACAGAAAACTTAGAGAACTTGAAAATTGGAACATGTATCAATTTCTTTGTGTCATTTTCGTTCTTTGTGACTTTATGGCATTGTTTTAAAAAATAGAAATGATTAAAATAAAAAAAAAACACAATAAACAGACTATATTCCATTCATCAATACCCTTCTGTACTAACTGTCATCATATTAACCTTCTACTGAAAATTACAGTTAATTCATGCTTGTACAGTTTAAGTGGTGTAGAACCAAATGAACATGGTACATTGTTATATGGTAGAAATGGTTGGTGTGATGGTAGAAATGTGTTTCCTTGGGTCATTGACATTACTCAACAAGTTTCTCTCGGCAAAAACAGTCAAATTAATTACTTTGGCTGGTTCAATGGAACTGATCCAAATCCGAAACAAAATCCAGGAATGATATCAATTTATTCATATCTTGTTTATTATAGATCTTGACTGTACTGTTAAATTAATTGTAGTTTATGGACAATTTTTCATCAACAGCGAATTTTAAACTTGTAGAGGACTTGAAAAGATTATAAACCAAGAGGTCCACAATTATGTGATGACTAATTTTGAACCCCTCTCAAATGTAATACACGTGAATTTATCACACCCTTTGTTTATTCCATTTCTTTACACTATTTTAAAAAAGTGTCAAAATTCATGTATTCATTTAAATGAATTAACAATGATCTTGGTTTCTTAAATTTTATATTTAAATTTTGTCATATTTGATGTTACTAATTGTAGTGATTTTGCTAACATGGTAACTTAAGACCCATAGGTAATTTCAGTCAGATTAACAATGTTCTTACAGTGTGAATTGGAGTTGTACTTTTATTGATAGTTGTTACACACGTGGAGACTTTGCTTAATGTTAACATTTTGATTTTACATCTTGATCTTCCCTCCTAGTCTCTGAACTTCTGTGTTCACACAAGCAAGGGTGCTGTCTGCAGCTGGTAAGATATGACATTAGTAACACAGTAGATAAAGAAAAATATTTCAATATGACGACAACTACTATTATCCATAGTTTCCTGTTATTTGTTTACTTATTGACATATATTGTTCAATTTATATGTAAGCATTCCAAAGAATTGCAAAGGTGATTTTTTTGCCCCTGTATTTTTTTTTTCATCTTCATGCTATGCAAAGTTATTGACCATATTTTGTTTGACAAATAATTAAATGCATATACATGTACACTGTGTAAAGATAGCCATACATTGCTTTCTGACTTTAAAGTAAAGTAACTTAACTCATGTACCATTACAGTAGAAATAAAAATTAAAGACATAATTATATTCTTTTTTTATTGTTTTTCTTGTACATTTTCTTATGAATCATTGTGGTTGTCATCTTCACTTGCCAAGAGTTTACGATCCTCTACTCTCCTCATAAACTCCTCAAAAAGTAAAGATTTTCTGCAGATTGAAGTTCAAAACTCCTTGCTACCAAAATGTTAATTTCTATACACAGTCATGTCATTTTGTTTTTAGTAAAGCAATGTTCCAGTAAATGCTGAATATCCTCCCCTATATATTTTAACATTTGCGCCTTTACCTACATTATCTACTTTCACGTGATCACCTATTTTTAGCCTCACGATCACAGTTCTGCTTGTCTGACCCCATCGGTTCTTCTCATGAACTGCCCTGTATAGTTTCAACATTGATGAGGGTATCAACAACGAACATATAAGTTCCCGCCACTGGACACACGAATACTCCTGTTCTATCATCATATCCATTATCATCGTTTGTCAGAATTCCATCGTATTTAATGGTCTGTACTTTTCCAACAATAAAATTTTGATCAGTCCCAACATAAACGGAAAAACTGACTCCTCTAGTTGATTTTGGCGAACCTACAACATACAGTTCTTAACCAATTGAAAGACAATTATTGAACATATGAGAATACGAAAAAAATATCTTGGAATAAGCATTTATGCCTGACAAGTGCATAGACTAGAATGCAGTGCGTACAATGTTTTAATGATCATTACCTTGCGTTTCCTGATCATAGTATGTTTACGTTTCTTGAATAATGATGATGGACTTGTTCACTTTAATATCTACCTAGAAATGTCTTGCTGAGTGTAGTTTATCATAAGAGAATCTTGCAACCTCACTTTCTATATGAACGTAGCTTATGTTAAAAAAAATTAACAATGAAGATAAAACTTTTAAGAAAATGCATATATACTTTTTTGATACACTATGTTTAGTTAATTTTAATTTCTTATTTTAAAAAAGCTCTATTCCATATTCTTCCTTTTCAAATAAACGTACCCGAGATTGAGAGTTTGCCCAGTTCCTTCAGAGCTGTAGAGTCCAGTGTAACTGTAGCCTTAGCATTACTGTAGATCAAGGACTTTATAGAGTAAAGTTTTGTCCGTATGTCTGACTGTGTCCCTTCTGAAACAGACTGATAGTTATACATCAAATGTAGTATCAACATCATTACTTGAAGATATGTCAACATATTTTGATTCTAAACAATATGCAAAAAAGTAACTGAAAACAATAAGCAAAGTATCATTACTTTTTATATCAATAAAATGTACATCTGTTACAGTAAAGATGCATGTACCGGTAATAAGTTCATCAAAATATCATATAATATTTGATACTGAATTTGTTGATATATTCTAATTTCATGCACTTAATAAACATTTTATATTTCAGTTGGTCGCTGGTTAATTGATTTGTCCCTTTTTTCATCCATAATTCAGAACAACCAATCAGTGTCTGTAAATTTACAATGAGGACAACACCCTTGATAGTGCCCTGGATATATACCCTCTTTAAACTGTAGACTTCATAAAACAAATTAAAATAATTATATGTTAATATAATAAATTTGAAGTAACGAACAGTATTTAGGCTCAAAAGTCATTCAAACAATATAAATCAGGAGAAGTGCAAACACGGACTTCTTTAACATCAGCAATGGGATCAGGTGACATAGAGGAGTGAGCATCCCCTGCCAACAGGTCACACTCGTCGTGTGCTTCTTGTCATGATTGGAAAATAATGGGAACATATCCGTCGACAATTTGTTGCGAAAATAGTTGTCTATCAACTAGTTTGAAAAACGTCAGTCAACATTTGGATTAATGATACATGTAGATTGTATTTGCTGACAAGGTCATTGAATCGAATGTATATCTTTCTGGGAATTTATCGAATTGACTGGACTGCCTGATAAATATTACAATTTCCTATGATAATATTTTTGTAAGAGAGAATATGTTGTAATATTATACTTTCATGTAAATTAGTTGAATGTGATTGGTCGAGAAGCATTTGTTAAAAAACACAATTACCCGCTGAATAATGAAGCCACGCCCTCCAGCGTAGCAACAGTCAACATTGCTTGACGACGGGTGATATTCCAAAAAAATATGCGCAGAATATGTGCGCGCACGATTCACTTTTATATGTATTTGTACAGAACATTCTGTATAATATAATAAATATTGCATGTAGATAAGTGTAACATTGAAAATTTTCACCCCTCGAAAACAGTTGTCATTCTCGGCTGCGCCTTGGTTTTCTTCGGGTGAAAGTTTTCGATGTTACACTCAACTACATGCAATATTTATATAATACCGCATAACATGATATACCACCGTAACACATTATAACATTGTTAAGTTATGGGTCCACGTGATGGTAAATCACTGTTGCAAAACATAAGTTGCAGACTTCAGGTTCAGTGATTCCTGAGATGCAGATTGACAATAATCATACCCATGCCTGTAGTATATATATTTAACTTATTGGAAGCCCTGAAAATGCCAAGGCTATATTTTTAGGTGCATAGTAGAAGTAAACATTCCTAGTTTACCGTCACACCCGCCCTGAACCTGAATTGATGTTTCGTAATGAAATTCAATTTAAAAACAAAGGCTTAACAATTGGTTTTAGAGAAGTCAGACAAAATACAACCCACTGATAAGTTAGCCGAGGTTGTTGAAATCTATACATTAACTTATCGTACATGAGTAGTAGCATGCCTTTCTTTGAAAATGGTTGTTCTCATTGCAAGTTCTTAGCAGAAATAAGGAAAGTAAGTTGCAAGACATGAACGTCATAAATAGCTGATTGTGGAATATTTCTATATTATTAGACTTTTATTGTATCAATTTATCCTCAAATACAATAAAATAATATCCTGCGCTGTACATAACCGTTGAAGATTATGATGTACAACAACGATTCGATGACCACATCCTCTGTTTCTATACACTTTTATTAATGAGATTCCATAGATTATTGAAAACTGATATAATTCTTAACAATATCAGGGGCAGATGATTTGAAATCACAATATTTTAATTAAATGATGGAAATATACCAAAGGGAAATATCCTCATTTGACTTTGTTAGCTCAAACTGCTAGTCGGCGTTCAATTTCTACCTCAAAGAGACTACAACAAATTCAACAAAACTGACTTAGGTTACCCGGACTACAAATCAGCATCATTGAAATATTTGCTTCTCCTCTTTATGAATCTTATCCGCATTTAAAATCAGGTAATCATAGAATCAAAATATGAAGATAAAAATACAATTTACAGAACAATTGTATAGAACCAAGTGAGGAAATGAAGGCAATTATTGGATGACAATTGAAACATCACACGAATTTTTCCGTGAGTCTCACGTCGAATTTAAAGGTTTTGTTGCATGGTCAAACAATTTATTTACAAACTGAATTACGGACAATGTTTTAAAACTTAAAACATATGATTAATCATTTAATTCTCATATTAAAAACATTATGCTAAAATAAATATTAACTTTGGAGTAGTTTTGAGCATAATCAGAGAATTATGAACAAATGATATTTTTTTAGTCTATTAGTAAAGCAATGTTCCTGTAAATCCAGAATATCCATTGTTATTTATTGACGTTCTTCCACCTACATTTTCAACTTTGACATGGTCACCACGTTTCAATTTTACTATCACAGTTCTGCTAATCTGACTCCAAACATTCTGATGAGCTGCCTTATGTACAAATGCCACAGCTTTCTTGTTTACTTTTATGGCAAGATAAGTATCTAAATAGCAGAGAGTATCAACAACGAACATGTAAGTTCCCGCCACTGGACACACGAATACTCCTGTTCTGTCATCATATCCATTGCCATCGTTTGTCAGAATCGCATCGTATTTAACAGTCTGTCCTTTTCCAACTGTCAGAGCATTGGTCCTAACATGAACAGAGAAACTGACCCCCCTCGTTGGTTTTGGCGAATCTAGGAATTAACAATGCAAGAAAAATATTATTTATTGATGTTAATCAAATAATCAAAAGAATCAACGTTTAAACAGACAAAGTTCAAAGTCAATTCATGTATATAAACGTGGGGTTATTCAAGTGAAAAAAAAAGTTCACAATTTTGATTTGAACCTAACATGTTTATCTTAACACTTAATCTCGTATCATTTTTGCTCAAATAGGCCATGTAAAGGTAACATACCACTAACATCCACTTTGCATTTCTTAATCAGAGACGGTGATTTTATACCAATCTAAATGCAGGATCTATTTATTTAACTTTTTACTTACGTTACATCTCTCGGAGAGAACGTTAATAACAAGATTTTCCAACTCTAACCTTTTTTATGAGGCAAGCTTACGTTTTTAATCTTTGCAGGACAAATACGTGGTAATATGGGGGTGATTTTAATTTTCTTATAATGCACTTTAAAGATTTTAAAGATCATTGTTGGGGAACAGGAAAATATGGATAAAGTGTACAATTTACTAGTTTGACATACAATATTTGATATAAATATCGTAGGTTATGCTCAAAATTTATACGATGGCTTATTGGACACTGAAAAAGCGAAAACATATTGACACCAAAACACATTTAAGTATTCCCCATTTTTACAGTAATTAATTTTTAAATAATTACCTGATGTTGAGAGTTTTTTATTATTTCACTAAAATTCTATTTAATATCTTTACCTGATGTTGAGAGTTTGACCAGTTCCTTCAGAGCTGTAGAGTCCAATGTAACTGTAGCCTTAGCATTTCTGTAGATCAAGGACTTTATGGAGTCAAGATTTTTCCGTGTGTTAGACAGTGTCCCTCCTGACACAGGGTGATAATTATTCACAAAATGTAGTATCAACAACAATACTTGAAAATATGCCAACATTTTTTAAATTCTAAATGAAATGCAAAAGAATGACTGAAAACAAAAATTAAAGTATCACTACTTTTTATATCAATAAAATGTCCACCTGTTACAGTAAAGGTGCATGCAATAAGTTCATCAAAATATCATATAACACAAGATCTCAATCTGTAGAGATGTTTTAATTTCTTTATAAACGTTTTATTTTCAAGGTACTCCAATCTTCAGGTTCTGAAAATCAAGCATTGATAATTGAAAATGCTCACAAAAATGTCTCTGAATTTTCAAAGTCACACGTTTTTACCCACAATAATGCTTCAAACTTCATCTTTCAAGTTAATCATATTATATAGAGAAAATTAGTAAATCTCAAATCTATTTTTCAAGAATTTCCTGATATATGTAATTTTAAAATGCTTATACATGGATAAAATTTTGACTTTTTATTAGACCTTTCTGAGAACTTCAAAGAACCTTGAAGCACATTGAGAGGTATATACACCCATTCTCAATATAAGGGCACAAATGCCTCTCTGATTTTTTAAAAAATGAAGTTCAAGATAACAATTTTTCTATCAATTACCTTTGAAAGAAAGTATCTGAAGATTTTGCTACAAGTTTTTTTTTTCATCAAATTTTAATATATGGAATAATGACAAGACGTTGAAGTAGGGGGTGATTTTATTCAGAAATTTAGCTGGAAATGTACGTTACTCTTTCTGCAATGTCCAAAAAGGTCTACAGAAAAAAATGTAGTCATTAAAAATCACAATTGGAATATCTCATCTTAACACCAGCACATCCTACCAACACTGTCAGCAACATATTCTCTCGGCATACTAACGTGCGTTTGATTTTTCCTTTCAAAAAACAAAGGTTACTTTTTGATCCAGATGTATAAAAATATTTTTTATAATATATGCTTTAAATTCTTCTCTCTGTTTTGTTTAGAGCGATCAGTTTGGAATCTTGTAATTTTCTATAGATACTGGAACTTAACATGTACATGTAGTAAAATTTTATTTTGTAATTACTGTCTTTTTTAACATAAATCCATGCCGATTTAGAAAACTATGTAAATATAACGTACATTTCATGATTTATTTCTGTTTGATAAAAAGCTTAAAATTCATCTAAAAATTCATCGTTTTGTTTCAGTTTATTCCAAAATAGATTCTCTAAGTAATCACATTGTGTTATATGTCATAATCACCACTATAAAGACACGATTGCCTCAGAATATGAGTAGGTAACGTACATTTCAAACTTGTAATAATATGTAAGTAAATATTGAAAAAAAAGCAATTATAGACATAAAAATCATTTCAATGAAGCGTTTTAACGCAGTAATATAAGAAATCATAATGTAACAAATGAGGTTATTTGTCATCAGCTACATGAATGTCACGTCACTTCGGTAACGTTCATTTCACATACTAGTATTATTGGGGAGTCCCCTCCACCTCTTGTGCTGTTTCGCTTAAATTGACACCGTAGCCTAGTTACTTCTACCTGTGTGCAAGGGTACAGACAAAATCAAATAAGAGTAAGACATATTTTGCTATGATCCAACAAAAACTCACGTTTGGCCATTGAAACTTAACATAAATGATCAAAATCTATTCCGAATATATCTATCGACAGTCTTGTTAACAATTTCATTTAGTATGCTGCAACATCGTTTGTCAAAACACAAACATACCTGCTTTTCAGCAGATCTTGAAAAATATAACCCAAAATGCAATGAATCGAACAAAACTGAGTATTGTGTGCCTTTCAGTATTTGAAATGTACGTGACCGTCTTGCGTTTTGGGTTTGTTTTGTTTCTTTTTTTTTTTTACCAATTAGAAGCCTATGCATGCCTTGTTTTAAATTATCAACAACAATTAAATGATGAATATTGACGAAAAGTAGCATATTAAAAGTAAACAAACAGCAAAAAGGTTGCCATAGATAAATTTACGACGATTAGAAATAAATTTTCTAGCATGTGGTAACAGTCTACCACATTTCCGAGGATTGGGGGTGCATTTAGATGGATTTATGTGGTCAGTTGTCAAATGGATTGTACGATATCTTTGTTTCGCTCGTGTAAACGCAATTCATTGACTAAATTAAAAAAAAAATGTCGTTAGAAATACGCAAAATGTACGTTACCATACGTAACGTACATTTCAAATATAAAAATCAATTCTCTTCCACAAGCTTACGTTACACACGCAATATATTGATATTATTTGAACTTGCATAACATAAGAAATGCATCATACAGGTTTCGTATTCAAAAAAATATATCAGGTATCAAAATTATATTACATATAAATGACCATAATATAAATTTTTTCCTCAGCAGAAACGTTTCTTTTCATTTATTTTGGGATTTAGCCGACCTCCAACCTTTGAAACTTTCCTTTGTGTACACATTCGAGTGTGTGAAAGTTTGAGAATACATGAAAATTCGTGCGAGATTCACTTACTTCGAATTTCATGGTAACGTACATTTCAGTCACGTACATTTCAAATGACCACTTTTCATGTAAAAAACAAATTTTTATTGTCTTAACCAAAACGGCTTTGCCAGTTTACAGGGTACAAGGGGTTGCTTACTCAGAGTCGTCTCATATTTTCTACTTAATATATATTCTTAATGGAAGAATATAATGTAACGTACATTTCTTTCTTATCTCTACGATTGAAAATGTCTTTCATTCCGTAAACATATTTATAAAAGTTGCTCAAATTGTTCAATTTCATGTTACATTATCTAAGTATAAGTAAATTATCCTTTGAAATTTCAAATTTAGCCCATCAATAAATAAAGGAGAAAAAAACTGACAAGTGTATAATCTTTGTGTTTGCTTGTAATGTGGTTGAAACAGAATTAAGCGACAGGGACATTGCACATTATCACAAAGAAATAAATGTATTTATTGTTATGAAAAGAAAGATATATGATACAAGGTTTAACTTATCAGAAAATTTTTACTTGAGAATCAAAACTGCATATTACACAGAGGGGATTCAGCATAATATTTGCCTCGGCGACAGTAACGTACATTTCAAATACGCTACTATATTTGAATTTGGAACTCCTTAAATATCTTTTCAGATCGATTATTATATGAATTCTTATTCATTGTTATATGACTATTCATAATGTTGATTTGAAAATTACATCAGTGGTATTTCTTCTAAATGAAAATGAGGCGACATTATTTGAGCCCTTATATTGAGAATGGGTGTTAATGATAGATTGTATTTGCGGACAAAGTAATTTTATCGAATGCTCATCTTTCGAAGGATTTATAGAATTGACCGGCTGCCTGATAAATTATATATACCACTAATAAGATTTTATGTAAAATATAAAATGTTATTATAATACCACCATAACCACATTAAATCATTGTAATAAAAAGGTGTTTAGGCCTATGTAATATGGTAAAATACTGTTGCTAAATATTAGTTTCAGCTTTTCAGGTCCACTGATACCTGGGAAGAAGATAAACAATTATCATAATCTTGCCTGTAGAATGTAATCTTTATTGAAAATGCCAGGAATTGGTTTTAGGTGCATAGTAGAAGTAAGTGTCAATAGTTCACCGGTCACAACCGCCCTGAGCCCTTTAAATTGATCAAATAGATGGCATTTTTTGTAGTGAAATTCAGTTTAAAAACAAAGGCCTAACAATTGGTATAAAAGAAGTCGGACAATATACATTTTAGCGACCATAGAAATTATGAAATGCCGACTTTAACCGAAGTTGTTGAAATCCATACATCAACTTATCAGTGAGTAGCATGCCTCTCTTTAAACATGATTGTTCTCCTTGCAAGCTCATAAGAAGAAAATACAAAATTAAAGTAAGTTGGAAGACATGAACGTCTTATATAAGTTTGTAGTTAAGAAGAACGAACTGATGCTTGTTTTAAAAACCAGCATTAATTTGGATTCAACGCATACACGGAGGCATAGCTGCAGATCTGTAGCGTTATGGTTTTATATAATTTTCCTTTGACCATAACGCTACAGATCCCGTAATGCCAAAAAAGGTGCAATTTACGGCGCAATTTTTTTTTGCGCACTTTTGGGGAGAATTTCTCCACTTTCTAGCATTGGTCTATCAACTACCTTTCACTCCCTAATTCTAGGCACATTATTAAATAATCTGTATATTTTATCTATCTCCTAACCCTCTTATAGTCATCTCTACAGGTGATAAACCTGCTTGATTAAAATTATATGTTGGATTGCAGAAAATTCATTTCAAGCGAGTCTATTGCCTGTAGAGTCAACTATAAATGGTTGGAAGGTGGATAAAATATACACATTGCTACAGAATATGTCTAGAATTAGGAAGTGAAAGGTAGTTAATTGGCCAATGCTAGAAAGTGGAGAAATTCTGCCATAAAAATGGCCCAAAAATATTGCACCTTGTAGCTTTTTGCATTACGGGATCTGTAGCGTTATGGTCAAAGACAAATATATAAAAATATAACGCTACAGATCTGCAGCTAACGGAGGCAGAGATATGATATTTTTCCGAATGTCTTCAATTCTGGTGAAATTTCGATGATATTTTTCCGAATGTTCTCAATTCTGGTGAAATTTCGTTGAATTTGAAATACTTTTCACTTGGGAAAACATGGAGCACAAGCTTGGCTTTCTGGAATTTTTACACACAAGATTCACCTGATACTAGTTTATGAAATATATGAATTTTGTAGATAGGCAAGTTTATGCTCTATGTTTTCTGAAACAAAATGTGTTGTAAAATTGATAAAAATTTGCATAAAAATGAGAAAATTCGGAAATTGACAGATTTTTTGACATTCCTGTGACCTCTGTGTATCACATAATTTAGAACCAATACTCATTTTGTCGCAGGAATGATAAGAAGTTTCAAATTATAAAGTGTTGCATTATTTTAAAAGTCTCGTTCTTATCCTCAAATACAATAAAATTATTTTGTCCTCATGTGTTGTTCATAGCTGTGTTGTTCAAGATTATGATTTACGACAACGATTCGATCACCGCTCCCTCTGTTGTGCAAAATCTTTACTTCAAGAGGACGTTATAATGGTAATCTAACAACCAAGTCATATGATAAACGTGATGACTTTAACTCTTCTACTGTCAATTTTCCCTACTAATGCAGTAATGAACCTTCATCAATTGCAAACGGAGTTTTTATATCTCAGTTCATTCGATACGCAAGAGCATGCTCTACGTATGAATGATTCCTTAAAGGAGGGAAAATATTGACAAACAAGTTGATGAAAAAAGAATTTCAGCAGTCTCGTTTAAAGTCATCATTTCGTAAGTTGTATGGTCGATACAATGACCTTGTCAGTAAATACAATCTATCATTGAGTCAAATGCTGACTGACATTTTTCAGACTCAATTTGTTAGTACATTATTTATACACTGAATTGACGACAGATTTTCCCGTTATATCCCGTTCAAGGAGCTACGGCGGGTGTGAAAGGTCTGCAGGGGATGCTCTCTTCTCCATGGTACCTGAGCCCACCTCTGATGTTTTTGAGGTCCGCGTGTGCTCTGCTCCTATTTTATGCTGTTTTATGGACTTTTGATCTTGAATACTGTTCGTTATCTCCATAGGTTTTATTCTAAACATTTTTATTTATTAGATTCCACAGACTAAACAAGAGGCCCACGGGCCTTATAGGTCACCTGAGTATCATGCAACAACTTTCCAGTGATTGTATTTGGTTCGTGTTTTAATCCAAAAGCCATGAAATTCACAAATTTGGAAAGAGGCACCATTGCTTAACAAAGGGCAGATTTCAAAGCATTAATTTATTTTTAGTTAAAGTACCCCCCTGGTACCTCTGACCCAGCGTCCCTGAAATTATCTATTTTGAAAGAGGCCCCTTTCTTCATTACAAGGCCAGCATTTTTTTTTTTATGTTTAGGTTTAGTTATGAACATGAGAATAAAAATGTTCTGAATGAGAAGAAAATAATTTTTTTTTGTTAAATCAATTATTATTATTTGTACATTCTTTTTTTATACCATTCTGATAGGCTTTTTACCACTGGACACATAATGCTTACAAATATGAAAGTAGAACATTGCTTATTTCATCATCTGCCAGTTTGGGCCAGTTATATAAATTTTGTGATGTTGGTCAATATGTATGTAAAAAAATCAATTCTTTAAATGTCTTTCAATATATCTTCATTTTTTGATATGTGTTAGGTGAATGTGTAGGCATTGTTCTAAAATTTACTTGATGCCTAAAATTATATAATTCCTATCATAAAACAGACAGGGAGTATTAGGGAGTAGGGTGAACATTTTTTCAATTAAGTGTAAAATAATTTAAGTGGCTGATGCAAATGATACTTCTTGCCTGTATATATTTGTATATTTTTGCCTTTTAATAGTTGAATTTTTTCTTTATTTCTTCAGGTTATTGTTTATTTCTTCCTCAAATGGACTCAAATTCTCCCATAGTTTTATTCATTACATATGATGCATAAGCAATTAACCCTTTTCTGAAGAAAGATGCTTAGACTGTAAGCTATAACAGAGATCTAAACAATGTCGCTGACAATATGCAATAGCTACCACTGGCAGTTTAAAACCTGGGGGAGGAAAATAATTTACAGAGAAATACTTTTGAAACTAACACATAATTATCTCACCGGCATGTCATTGTGCAACAAAGTCGTCAGCATTTTATTTGTCCTTTGAACGGGTGAAACGTTTTGAATGGCACTGGAATCGATGAATTTTACACTTAACCAAGCTATCTTCTCAGATAGATCTAGCATTATTTACCCGGCGTTTCATCTTAAAACCGGAAGTGCGACTTTGTAAATTTGAAATCTCGATCCCGACTCAAATTTGACATCGGATAGAAAAAATTGTTTTATTTTTTCTGAAAATTCTAAACCTTGAGCGGAGGGTTTATAAAACTGAAAATAAAATAAATCCTGGCCTTAAGTATGTAATTAGATCATTAGCATATTAACCAGGAGCAAAGGATAAGATGTTCAAAGAATTCATGCATTTCACTATATAATCATTAGAGCCCCACCCTAAAACAAGAACCCTTGACCCTGGGGCCATAAAATTCACAATTTTGGTAGAGGCAATCTTGCTCATCATAACTATGTACTTAGTTAGTTTATTTAATACCCAGGAGCAGAGAAGAAGATTTTCAAAGAAATAATGTATTTTCACTATATAATCAATAGAGCCTCGCCCTAACACCAGAACCCTTGACCCTGGGGCCATAAAATTCACAATTTTGGTAGAGGCACTCTTGCTCATCATAACTATGTACTTAGTTAGTTTATTTAATACCCAGGAGCAGAGAAGAAGATTTTCAAAGAAATAATGCATTTTCACTACCTACTTATTTAGCCCCGCCCTAACACTAGAACCCCTGACCCCAGGGCCATGAATTTCACAATTTTGGTAGAGGACTCATTGCTGATTACAATCATGCAAACAGATTGACTGCTTGATGTCCAGGAGTAAAGAAGAAGATTTTTAAAGATTGCATTAATTTTAGTGGTTTTGGCCCCACCCCTCAGGCCCCAGGGGGGCAGGGATCATGAAATTCACAATTTTTGTTCCCCTTCACCCATACATGCTTTGTGCCAAATATGGTTAAAATTGGTTCAGTGGTTTCAGAGAAGAAGCTGAAAATGTTCAAATGTTAACACACGACGCACGACGGACGACGCACGACGACGGACGAAAACAGATAGCAATAGGTCACCTGAGTTTACTCAGGTGACCTAAAAACTGATACATGTATAATTCTTATGAATAGCAGGAGCAGATGATCTCAAATCACAATAAATGTAATTGATGGATCTATACAAAAGGGAAAGATCTCATTTTACTATGTCAGCTCAATTCGCTAGTCGGCGTTCAATATTTGTAACTGCAAACAGACAATTAAGGTCTCTTATCGACGAAACTGACTTAGGATATCTGGACTACAAATCAGCATCATTCAAAAAATTACTTTTCCACTTTATGAATTTTTTCTGCATTTAAAATCATCTAATCATAAAATGAAAAAAAAACTGAGTAAAAATTACAATTTAACAGAACAATTGTTTAGAACCAAGTGAGTGAATGAAGGTAATTAATGGATGACAATTTAAACATCAAACGAATTTTTCCGTGATTCTCACGTCGAATATAGAGGTTTTGTCGCATGATCAAACCATCTATTTGCAGACTAAAATACTGACAATGTTTTTAAACTATATGATTGATCATTTAATTCACACATTAAAAATACACTCACCGTCAATAGAAACGCAACACCCTAATTTAAGGGGTGAAAATTATGTACGGGATATAACTATGTACCAAAAAAGTTAGGACATCTTTTACTTTGCCAAATCAGTTATTTAACAGTTGAATGATTTTCATTCCATTACCGGAAGTTGATTTTTAGTCCCCTGGACAGAAAGCAAAAATTAGCATTTTTAATAAAATTATTGACAATATTTTGGGTTTTCAAGGTTTTGTACCTGTTAATCATAAGTCTTGTACTAAAATCATGCCAAGAAAACCTTAGCAGTCTGTCCGGAGAGCGAACTCAATAAAAGTCGAATTAACGTTAATCTGTGAAACTCCCCCGAGAGATGTTTGCGAGGCAATTAATGTCAGCAGTTTTGAGGAAGGGATCTTAAGTTTTACTGGGTTTAAAACATAGGTACAAATCTAATTATTTAGAAGTCTTTGCACCCCTTCTTTTTTTTGGGGGGGGGGGGTTCATATTTATCAAATACTGTTAAAAAAAGTAAGTTAAAGAAAAAGAAAGTTAAAAATAATTAATTATAGTAAACTAATTCGTCAGTAGAAATAAGCTGTCTTTCAATTTTTTACGTATTTCCATATAGTTTTTTTTTCCTGAGCATAAATTAACGTCGGGTACGATGAACTTGGTAGTTGTGGAAGTACCGCGCGTCGAATTATGGGGAAAAGGGTACCAGATTCCCGGAAGTTGACATCATTTCCTGGTCAAACAAGAGGGGAGAGGAGTACTAAATGGGTAGAGGTATCACACCGGTAATTGACCAATCAAAATGAACTTATCAAATGTAGGTCCATACATATAAAATTGATTTTCTTTTCTTTTGAGACATTTTTCTATTGTCTTCCGAGCCATTTTTACAACTTTGGTACCTGTGCCTAGTGAATTTTATGTACTTTTTGAACAAATAAAGGTTTTTGACAGGAACTATTTTTTTTCCCGGGAATAGGAGGCTACTTCCTGCGGTACACTCGGAATGTTTATAAACACATTTATGTCTAATGTCATACCGATTGTAATCAATAATAATCAGACAGAATATATACTTTGACTTCTAGTTTCCTACCTATATTGTACGAAAGAAACGAGATAATGCGAAACAATGCCCAGATAAATAACTGCTTCATAAGACGAAACCATTGTCATTATGAGCCACCTGGTCCTGAGTATGTCTCGTCAGTAACAAGTTCACCAAACATGCATGCATGATTCTAAATATTTCGAACATTGATTTAATTGCCTAACAGCAAACAGCCATCAAGACATCAACTAGCCTTTAACAAACAGCACTGACTGACAGAGCAATTAATTCTATCTTATGACCTTAAAACTTGGTAGCCTACCACAAGCATAAGCACTCCAGTATGCAATTCATGTAGAATGAGACAAAAAGTTATACTGGCCTTAATAAGCTTGGCGATTGAATAACTGCATTCCTTATACTTCGAAGGAACTTCCGCATAGGCTGGTCGTGCGAGGGGGTGCAGCACAGATGTACACCATCAGGACCAAGATAGTTTAGGTCATGCCAGAAACCTCTGTGACGCCAAAAATGGATTCCCGGCAAAGAATGGGTCCTGATCTCCAATTGTATATTTGTTTTTACTACCTTGTCATTGAAGCCATTGCAGGCTGCGAAAGGCAATCGTCTTATCAACTGTCCAATTATCACTATTTTAGCACCAACACCATCCCGCAAATATGCTGCCACAGATATGAGGTCACCAGCTAACTTTTCACAAGAAGTCAAATCACATATATCATTTTCCCCAACCTGCAAGAATATAATATCTGGCGGCGAAACAAAATGAAAAAGTTCCCTTCTATCACCGAGTCCTGCAGATTCATTAAGACGGCGTAAACGAAGACCTCCTTTTCCACGGAGAGTCACATTAAAACTGTCATCCAACCTCAAATTAATTATACCTTTATTAGAACAATATTCCTTCAATCTGCGAATATAGGAATGTCCAATTATACACACATTAAGTCCAGGAGCCATACTTAACAGCGTCACACCGAAAAAAAAAAGAACTCTTTGTATGGGAGCTTAAACGGTACCCTCGCACTCCCAGACTAAACACCCACAAAATAATACAATTATTTTCAAGCAACGAAACTTACAAATTGCAAATCTCTTGGATTTCTTTAGGAAATATCTTCAAAATATACGTGGTTCCAAAATTACTGTGGACAGCGCGGGAATAAAAATACAAGTGGTCCGCTTAGCTGGCCACGTGATACTAGCCCGCTAATCATTGGCTGGAAATTCGCATACCACAGGCGTAAAAATCCCAGCCTGAAATATCTATTACATAAACCATCACACCCATGTAAATACAACGTATTTAATACATAAACAACGCATTTAATACATAAATTCAATTATAATCATAATTGCTGTTTGAAAACACGTGGAATTGCGGGTAGCCCTGTTTACAGATGGAAAAAGTAAGAAAATGCCGTGTAGGTAACGTTTTGTGTGTGAGAGTGTGTCAGCTAGTGTGACAGGTAATGTTTAACACCTCCTGCTAGTTATGTTTTCAAGTAAACAAATACCAGATTTTTTTACGACTTTTTATTCTATTATATGGAATTTTATAGTGAAAACAATTACCGGTGTGACGAAACCTGATTGGCTATGTTAATATTTTCATTTTAATGTATAAATATCACTGATAGAAATAAATGGTGGAATATATCAAGTTTATTTTTCTTTAACTAAGAAAGCTGAAAACTTATAATATCCCCCCCACCCCAAAATCGAAATCTGCTGCCGTAAATTGTCTTGCTAGCGTTTTGGGAATATGGGTGATTTGCATCAATTACACTTTTATTGACTTCATCAGTGCGTAAACCGGACGAGATTTCTTGGCATGTTCCGGAAAAATATCCTTCTTTCTTTTACGGATTTGATGCCTGTATTTCCTCAAAACAAATGAAAGCACGCATTTTCATTGCTAATGTTGGAAATTCTCAAAATAAAAAAGGGAGAGCTACAGATGCAAGTATGCACTACATAACGAATTTTCGGGCTCATGTGTTTCAAAAGCTTGAATGACAGTTCCTTGACCGGAAGTCCAAGGGTTTGTAGTAATTTAGTTTAACTGAAAAAAAAATGTTTTGTTTACATAATTCTTTAACGGTCACTCATTGTTTATATAACTATTTTTAGATATAGCTACTCGATGCTCCTCGCGAGGATCGGTTAGTTTGATCTTTACGTAACTCTTTTGTTTTGAACGCGATGCTCCTTATGAGCATCGGCCAGCGGGTATATATATGGGGGAATTTTGGGTCAGTTAGTTAATGTTTCGCTGGGAATTTATTAGTATAGTCACTGTTTTACTTGGGATTTACATGTACATAGACCGTTCAGAAGATAGTGGATTATTGTGTAAATATTAATATTGTGATGTGTTTTACGGGCACCTGTCCCTGTAAATAAATTGTGTATAAAACTTACTTATCGTTTTATTTCAAACAAGGAGGAGATTTTAAGACAGAGGAATATTATTTTTACTGAATAATGGATTAATTTAGCCGTTTACCGCTCGACGGCACTACAACTGGTGGCAGCGGTGGGATTTTCTGCATTATTCCAGTGATTTTAATTTATTATTTTTGTGTGTGTGGATTTATTCAGTGGATTTATTCGTGAAGATGAGGAAATTTTCTTATATTACTTTGTATACTATTCAAAAGAACGGATCTGGATTTAGAAAGTCTATAGTGGATACTGAAAATTACAATCTTACATGTGAAAATTGCGCTAAAGTATTTCCGAGGAATCAGGCAAAGAACAAAGTGTTTTTGTCTTGTGAAAATTGTGAGCTTTCCGTGTTCAAATTCAGATGCGTACAATGTGATCATGTGAATAGCTGCTAGTGTGCGGAAAAAAGATTAGTATAAAGTGACACCGTTTGAATTATTGTGTTTTTAAAATACTAGAAATGGATTCCAGGAATAATCAACCTCCAAGACTTGCATATATATACGACTATGATGATTCCGAAAAATAAGTTTTAGTGAGGATCGAGGATTTTTATTTACGGAAGGAATGCCCAAACTGTTATAACATGTTTGTAAAAACGGAAAACAGGCATGAACATCTGACCAGTGGACGCGTTGTTCAGTTCTATAAATGCCCAGCTTGTGGATGCCGGATTAAAATACCCAATTAGTGAAAGTTAGTGATTTATCAACGTGGATCCGTTTGCTATATTTGTGTTATTTGCCCACTGTGCTCTTCTACTTAAAATGCTTCAATCACCGACGAATATGGAATCACAAAGAAGAATTCCAGAGCGTCCAGCTCCGTATTATACGCCTTATCCAAGGACAAGTGCGCGTAGAAATTTAATGAGTGAATTTAACAGGATGTCGCCATCTCCTGTGATATCAAGTACACCGCTTAATTGGAGTTCTAGTGGGAATGAGCGTGAAACACCAAGCAGTGCAGAATCCGGAAGCGCCGATTCCAGTACTTGGGGTTCATATATATCTTATTTTCTGCTTGGAGTGGTTTTATGCATGTTGACAATATTTGGAAGTTATAAATTCTTCCCTATGGATTACCTGAACAGTCTGACTCGTGGAGCGGGAGTCGTCGTTGGAATTGTGTTATTCATGTTTATTTGTGCAGTGTTGTGGAAATTGTTCAACAAACGACGTGCCAGTTTCGAGAATGAGACATCTAACGAGCAGATGCCAGGAAGAGGATCAGGAGTTAGTATTCAAGTCAAACGCACCTTTAAGGGCGAAGGGGCCGAGATATGGAGCGAGTTCATTCGATATTTCGAGAATATCGCTATGCTTAATCATTGGACTTTAGATATGAAACGGCGAGTTCTTATTACTACGTTTAGAGGACAAGCGGAAACATTTGCCTACGGATTGCCAGAGGATATCGTAGAAGATTACAATCAACTGAAGCAAAGTATGGATGACAGGTTTGGTCATCATGCAATGAAGGAAAGTTACATCGCCGAGGCAAAACTACGGAAAAAGAGGAATACTGAATCTTATAGAGATTTTGGACAAGCTATTGCTGATCTTTATAGGCGAGCACATCCAAACAACAGAGATTATGTAGAGGAAGCCAGTCTTAAGACATTTCTAGACAACTGTGATGGTGACGAGGAATTCCGCCTTGCTGTAAAGCGAATGAGACCGAATACGCTACAAGAAGCTGTGACCGCGGCAATGCAGGAGGAATGCATTAGAATAACAGAAAACAGAAGTTCTAGAAATAGTCAGAATCGTATTGTTAGACCTGTCTACAGAGTTAATGACTCTGTGAAATTTGATGCTAAACCTCAGATACACCCCGCGCAAAACAGTGAAGTACAAAGTAATGAAGCTGCACGGAGAATAAAGAAATGTTACGAATGTAACTCAACACATCACTTGTACAGAGACTGTCCTAAGAAGAAAAATGTAAATGACAGAAAACTGCAAAAACCTTTAAACCTGAAAGTGTCGAGGCAGTAGGCCATGCATCGGCACAGGAGTTTGTAAAGCGGCCTTGTATAGGTAACCAGCAACCCCGGGATACTGCGGACGTTGTTAGTAAGGGAAATGTTACTGTATCAACGCAGACTGTTGTTGCTGAGAATATGCACTTGAATTATGACTCTAAGGATGATGAAACTGGGGACTTTGTAGAGATTCAAGGGAAGTCCGGTATGAAGTTAGATGGTTTAGTTGAGGGCACGCCAGTAGAGTGGAAATTAGACACGGGTGCAATAAATACGTTTATTACAGAGGATACTTATCTTAGCATCCTTCCAGAACATCGACCTGTACTTGAGCGCGTTAAGAAAACATTCAATACCGCCGATGGCAGGAGGTTAAAGGCAAAATGTTACTTTCATTTAAAAGTGTTCAAGTGATTTTCCGTGTATTTGTTGGAGAAGTTAAAAGTAACTTATTAGGACAAGACTTTATCACCAGGTTTCAATGCCAGTGGAATTATACATCTAATCTGTGTACCCTAAAATCACAAAATGAGGAAATTATGCGAGGTAATTTTGTACAATGCATCGAGGATAGTGTCGTTCCTGCTCATTGTGAAATTGTGATTAAAGCAGCGTTCGAGCATAGTGCAAATGTTACTGATGGTATTCTAGTTCCACTAAAAACTTTTGTGTTTAGTTATGGACTTGCTGTAGCGCGAGAATTAGTAACTGCGACTACAGGCCAGAATATCATATTTGTACGTGTATTTAATCCAAATGATCGTGATGTATTTGTGAGGAAGAATTCTGAAATAGCAGTGTTTGATCCTGTGGATGCAGTTTCAACTGTGAACATTCCGGAAGTGAGCAATGTGACGTCAGTGGATAGTCGACTGCCTGAATATCTAGAACCACACTTTAATGATGCGTGTAAAAATATGACAAAAGAGCAAAGTGTAAAGTTTAAGGACTTTCTTTTGTCGCGTGTAGATGCATTTGCAGATCCTAGAAAACCCGTGGAACGTGCTACGATCGGAGAGCATCGCATTAAACTGAAGGAGGAAGTACCCTTCAAGGAACCAGTGCGCAGGGTTCCGATATTTAAGAGAGAAATTATGGACGAGGAGCTCCGTAAACTGGAAGAACAAGGGATGATTGAGAGATCTAATAGCCCGTGGTCCTCACCTCTTGTGTTAGTACAGAAAAAGGACAAATCATGGAGATTGTGTGTCGATTATCGTCGACTTAATGCAGACACCATTAAGGACGCATACCCCATACCTCGAGTGGCAGATGATCTTGACTCTCTCGCTGGATCTACATGGTTTTCGTCATTTGATTTAAACATGGCATACCATCAAATTCCGATGCGTGAAGAAGACAAAGAGAAAACAGCGTTTGCTACACCTCGTGGAGGCCTTTATCAATACACAGTTATGCCCTTTGGATTATGTAATGCCCCGGCAACATTTCAACGAGTGATAGAACAGGCACTAACTGGATTGCAGTGGAAAATCGCAGTGCTTTACTTGGATGATATTATTGTGTACAGTCGAAGTTTTGATGAACATCTTAACAATCTTAATTTAGTATTTGACAGGCTACAGAGTGTGAATTTAAAACTAAAAGCTAAGAAATGCAATTTCTTTAGACGTGAGGTTAGTTTTCTGGGACATATTGTATCTGAGAGTGGCATTAAAACCGACCCATCAAAAATTGAAGCTGTAAGGAACTGGAAAAAGCCCGAAACTGTGTCAGAACTTCGAAGTTTCCTTGGATTATCAGCTTACTATCGACGATTCATACAAGATTTTGCTAAAATTGCCAGATGTTTGCACGTCCTGACTGGAAAGAATAGTGTGTGGAATTGGACCAGTGAGTGTGACATAGCCTTTCAAACTTTGAAAGAGAAACTTATTTCAGCTCCTATTCTAGGATACCCAGACCCAGATGGTGGAGACTTTGTGTTAGACACTGACGCTAGTAATAGTTCTATTGGTGCTGTGCTATCGCAAATACAAAATGGACGAGAAGTTGTCATTTCATATGGAAGCCGTGTGTTGAATAATTCTGAGCAGAATTATTGTGTTACGCGTAAAGAAATGCTAGCAGTTGTGTATTTTGTTAGACAATACAAGCATTATCTTCTTGGTAGAGAGTTTTTACTCAGAACAGACCATGGATCGCTAGTATGGCTTCATAGATTTCGAGAACCCGATGGCCAAATTGCGCGTTGGCTACAACAACTTGGACCATACGTGTTCCGGATTGAACACCGGGCAGGAAAACGGCATGGAAATGCGGATGCATTATCTCGTCTGCCGTGTGAATTAAACTGCAAACAATGTAAACGCGAGAAAAATGACTACAATGGCAATAAGAAATTCTCACATGTAACAGAACTAAGGAATTATTCTGCAAATAATGACAAAGACTGTGTGTTAGAACTTAACCTGTTATTTGATGAGGAAACGAATTATGTTCGTACTTCGGAAGGTGCTGTTGTTTCGCCTACTCAAAATCCGAGATGTAATAGACCTGCCAGAGCCAAAGCACGGAAGCAGCCAATGATATCTTTAAGCTATGAGAGCATTCGTGAGAATCAATCTAAAGACAACGGAATGCAAGTCATAAAACGATGGCTGGAAAATGGTGAAAAACCGCCATTATCAGTAATATCTGGAGAAAATTCGGAGTGTAAATTCTGGTATTCGAGATGGGACTTATTGTGTATTGACCGTGGTGTGATGTGCATTCGTTGGATTCTAGACAACAAAGAAGAAATAAAGATATGCTTACCGCGAAACATGCGCCATGTTGTGTTGTGGCACATGCACGATTCTAAAGTAGCTGGACATATGGGAATATCAAAAACATTAGCGAGAATAAGAAATTCACGTTATTACTGGCCTAGAATGCGTCAGTATACTCAGGACTATGTATCGGCTTGTGATATTTGTGAGGAGAGGAAAAACCCGTCCCGGAAAAAGAGGTCACACATGAAAACTTTCCTGAGTGGAGAACCATTTGAGAGAATAGCAGTTGACATTGCGGGACCATTTCCTAAATCAGAACACGGATATGCGTACATTTTAGTAGTGATGGATTATTTTACTAAGTTTACTGAGATATATCCGTTAATGAACATCGAAGCTAAAACAGTGGCCGAAGTTATTTTCAAAGGTTGGATTAAGCGATATGGATGCCCAGGCACAATTCATTCTGACCAAGGCAAACAATTTGAAAGTAAACTTTTTCAGCAGATGTGCAAATTATTGCAAATTGACAAAACCAGAACAACACCGTATCACCCACAGTCTGACGGAATGGTGGAGAGAATGAATCGCACAATCAAAGACATGCTTTCAAAGTATATTAGTGCAAACCAGACAGATTGGGACAATTATACTGACGGAATTGTTCTTGCGTATAACACTACCCCGCATGAGACGACAGGGATTTCACCATACAGACTAGTATTTGGACGAGAAGCTAGGTTGCCGATTGATGTTATTACCGGAGATGAAAATAACCTGTGTCCAGAGATCGAGCTGAACAAATCAGAGTATGTCCGTTTGTTAGAAGAAAAACTATTTGAAATTCACGAATATGCCAGAGAAATTTCAAAGAAATCTTCTTTAAGACAAAAATCATACTTCGATCGAAATGTGCGTGAAATTAATTACGACATTGGTGATTTAGTGAGACGAAGTCAAACAAAAGTAGCTAAAGGAACTAAATTAAAATTAGCCAGAAAATGGACAGGCCCGTGGACTATTGAAAAACGGTTGAGTGATGTACTTTATCAAATACGACATTCACCACAATCAAAACCAGTAGTTGTTCATGCCGACAATCTTAAACCGTACAAAGGGGACCAGCGACAAACTCTCCAGTCTGAAGAATCCGAATACACAAGTGGCGAGACACCAGATGTGCGCTACCGACGCGTGCCAGCTGTGAGCGAGAGACCCGACTGCACTCGTTTGAAGTCACCGCCAGTCACCCCTTTGACCGGAACTGCCGAAGCAGAACAGTCACATGCCGACAGCCAATCAAATTACGATAAACAAGAGGAAGCGTCTAAGGACCGCCCTACAAGTCCCGTTACCAAGACGACTCGTCTTGGTCGACTAGTTAAAAGACCGTTGAGATACAGAGATTGACACTTTCAATTTGGATTTTAATGAGATTAGATGGGATTTTTATGTGATATTTGTGGATTTTTGTTTAATCATCAGTGCAATTTAAGAAGACACATAAAAGAACAGCACCAGCCTAAAGTTCAATCGTTAAAATGTAACTTTTGCCAGCAACTTTTCCTGCGACCATCAAACTTGAAGAGACATTACAAGAACGTGCATAAACTTGATGAAATGAATGTGAGTGAAGAGATGGATCGGACTCAAGGAGACAGCGTTACGTGTAACAGAGACTTCTATCATTCGTCAAAGAAGCCTGTATATGTGTTGAGTGACCTGTACGAGGATATTTCCTCTGACGAGGATGAGGTCATTCGTATGGAGGAGACGCCCCAAAACTGTGATCTGATGGAAGACTTAGAAATTATTTCCGTAAATACGAGTGATTTTGGAGATCAGGCCGATGACCTGTTGGATTTCTGCGAACTCGAAGACGAGCGAACTGTAGTGGCCGCGAGTGACGAAGAAGACCAAATTGAGGAGGATCTAACCGACGAAAGAAACGTGGAATTCAGAGACACAAGTAGTGAACAAAGTAGTGATCATAGTGATACAGTGCGCGAGAATTCCACCGTGACAAAGTCAACTGTGTGCTTGCTTCTAAACAAAACAACCAGGAATTACCCTGACGGTACTATGGAGGTTAGCCGGGACACTCATGTGGTTTATTCCGAGGATTTAACACCTAGTGACATTGACTATGAAGGTGTGGCTTCGGAGGTGTTATCAGAGATTCCGAGACATTTCGAGGAGGGAAATGTTAGATTCGCGTGTGGAGACTTTACCCATTTGTGAAAAAAACGAACATATTTTACAGTAAATATTTAAATGTACATTCAACTTATAACTTATTATGTTTTTATTGATGTTTATGTGTATTATTATTTTTATCTTTTGAACGGAGCCAAAAGTTAAGCGTGGGGGAGTTGTAGTAATTTAGTTTAACTGAAAAAAAAATGTTTTGTTTACATAATTCTTTAACGGTCACTCATTGTTTATATAACTATTTTTAGATATAGCTACTCGATGCTCCTCGCGAGGATCGGTTAGTTTGATCTTTACGTAACTCTTGTTTTGAACGCGATGCTCCTTATGAGCATCGGCCAGCGGGTATATATATTGGGGGAATTTTGGGTCAGTTAGTTAATGTTTCGCTAGGAATTTATTAGTATAGTCACTGTTTTACTTGGGATTTACATGTACATAGACCGTTCAGAAGATAGTGGATTATTGTGTAAATGTTAATATTGTGATGTGTTTTACGGGCACCTGTCCCTGTAAATAAATTGTGTATAAAACTTACTTATCGTTTTATTTCAAACAAGGAGGAGATTTTAAGACAGAGGAATATTATTTTTACTGAATAATGGATTAATTTAGCCGTTTACCGCTCGACGGCACTACAGGTTACTACACTACACCAAGTTAAATTCGACCTTAGTCTCTGAAAAACAGGCATTTAAAGATGCACAAGAATATTTATTTCACTCAGGTTAGGACATTGATAAACCTACTGCATGGTAGAATTCGGTCTGTGTTTGTTGTACATGGCGGACTAGGACGTTTTAATTGAATGGTCGCAAGGGGGGATGTTTTAAAGTTATGTGTTACTTTCTAAGGTCTTAACATAACATTTAAAGTTTAAATGAAGTATCATTGTTTTGTAAATTTACTTTTTACATTGATGTATTCATTTTTAATCTTATCTTTAAACCTTATAAAGTAACATGTATGTTACTTTATAACGTTATGTAGTGTATATTTGCATCTGTAGTTCTCCCTTTTCTTTATTTTGAGAATTTCTAACATTAGCAATGAAAATGCGTGCTTTCAGTTACTTTGAGGAAATACAGGCATCACATCCGTAAAAGAAAGAATTTTTCCGGAATTTTAGTACAAAACTTATGATTAACAGGTACAAAACCTTGAAAACCCGAAATATTGTCAATAATTTTATTAAAAATACTAATTTTTGCTTTCTGTTCAAGGGGTTAAAAATCAACTTCCGGTAATGGAATGAAAATCATTCAACCGTTAAATAAATGATTTGGCAAAGTAAAAGATGTCCTAACTATTTTGGTACATAGTTATATCCCGTACATAATTTTTACCCCTTAAATTAGGGTGTTGCGTTTCTATTGACGGTGAATACATTATACTAAATGACTTAAAGTTTGAAAGAATCATTGATGTACCTTAAGAAGTGTTAATTTACAGGCGCCAGACCAATAATTTTTTTTATAATCTCTCGTAGTGTCAATCAGGAACTCAAGCATCTTTTTTTTTAAATTTTAATATCAACTTCGGAGTAGTTTTGTTTACAACAGAGGAATGTTTTTAGAACATAATTTTTTTGTCTGTTAGTAAAGCAATGTTCCTGTAAATCCCGAGTATCCATCGTGATATATTTCGGTATTTGAACCTAAGTTTTCAACTTTGACATGGTCACCATCACTGGCGGATTTAAGGGGGGGGGGCGTGGGGGCGCACGCCCCCCCTAAAATTTTCAAAGTATGATGTGACTAATATTTATAATGCCACATTTTGGTACAAAACTAACCAAGTAAGTGTTATTCTGCCTGGTTTTATTCTTAAAATACACAAAAATCCAGGAGCTTCCGGCGGCTGCGCCCCCTGGGCCCCCACTATTCAAATTATGACATGACTAGTATTAAACACGTCGTACTTTGGTACATCACTAAAGATTACCACTATTAGTAAGTAATAAGTAAGTAAATCGTTTATTATATAGTGGCATGTGTTACAATACAATGAGAATTGAGAAACATTCAATACATTTATTATTCAAACATCCGGACCTATATGCTATTTACTTTTACCAAAAATAATTGAAAAATATGCACTATTATTGTGCATGGTTTTACTCTAAAATACACGAAAACCCAGGAGCTTCCGGGGTCTTCGCCCCCTGGGCCCCCACCGATATGCTATATACTTTTAACAAAAATAAATTGAAAAATATGCACTGGTTAATATGTGCCTGGTTATACTCTAAAATACACGAAAACCCAGAAGCTTCCGGGGGCTTCGCCCCCTGGGCCACCACTTATATGCTATATACTTTTAACAAAAATAATTGAAAAATATGCACTATTACTGTGCCTGATTTTACTCTAAAATACACGAAAACCCAGGAGCTTCCGGGGGCTTCGCCCCCAGGGCCCCCACCAGGGCTTCGCCCTGGACCCACTGGGGGCTTTAAGGCGGCCCCCAGACCTCTTGCCTCGACAAAGTTGTCCACGCCCCCCCCCCCCAACCACAAATCCTGTATCCGCCCATGACCATGTTTCAGTTTTACTATAACAGTTCTGTTCATCTGACCCCAAATACTGTTCTCATGAAGTCTCCTATGTGTATGTGCTACAGCTTTCTTGTTTATTTTAATGGCAAGCCAAGTATCTACTTGGCAGAGAGTATCAACAACAAACATATACGTTCCCGCCACTGGACACACGAATACTCCTGTTCTATCATCGTATCCATCACCATCGTTTGTCAGAATTTCATCATATTTAACGGTCTGTCCGGTTCCAACTGTTAGAGCTTTGGTCCTCATATTAACGCCCCTCGTTGGCTTTGACGAACCTAAGAATTTACAATACAAGAAAAATCTTTGATGGATGCTTATCAACTAAGCAAGAGAATCCAAATTTAAATAGCAAGGTTTAATTTCAATTTAAATTTAGAAACATGAGGTTATTGAATTTTTTAAAAATCGGCGATTTTATATTAAAACTCTTATCAATATAACTTTTTGCTCAGATACGCCATATAAAGCTAACGCACTAATAGCCTCAACTTTGCATTTCTTTATCAGAGACGGTGTCTTAACTCCTCTCCAAATACAAGATCTATTCAATTAACTTTTTATTAACGTTACTCCTTTCTGAAAGAAATTTAATTATGACAAGATTCTCTTAATCTGACCTTTTCTATGAACCAAGCTTTTTTTTTTAATCTTTGCAAAACAAACACAGGAGAATGCATGAAGTATCATCATTGGGTAGTTTTAGCTTTCTTAATAAAACTCTTGTGGAATGTATTGTAAAGATTTTATAGATTAACAGCGGCTGTTTTTTTTTCACACTCATTAAATTCTTCGACAATAATATAATTCTATATTTTATCGGAAAATATGGATATAGTGAGCATTACTAGTTTGACATACGATATTTGATATACATGTATAAATGTTTACATTTAAATACCGTCGGTTATGTTCAAAACATCTATAATCGCTTATTGGTCACTGATTAAGCTGTAATCGAGAACATAGTGAAATTCAAACACAATAAGGCATTCCACATTTACAGTAAGTGATTTTTTTAAAAAATGTACCTGATGTTGAGAGTTTGACGAGTTCCTTCAGAGCTGTAGAGTCCAGTGTAACTGTAGCCTTAGCATTACTGTAGATCAAGGACTTAATGGAGTCAAGTTTTGTCCGTGTGTCTGACTGTGTCCCTCCTGACACAGGGTGATAATTATACAACAAATGTAGTATCAACATCACTACTTGAAAATATGTCATCATTTTTTTATTTCTAAACGATATGCAAAAGGGTAACTGAACACAATAAGCAAAATATCATTACTTTTTATATCAATGAAATGTCCACCTGTTACAGCAAAGGCGCATGCAATAAGTTTATCAAAATATCATATAACATAAGAACACAATCGGTAGGTAATTTCTGTTTTCGTATCTTGCACTTTTAAGGTGGAATGCCACACCAACTATTTATTTTATAGATCTTTGAGTCATCCTTTTTAAACAATGGTTTCAGCATTGAAAGGCCGATATTAGCTCTTAATTTGTATTTTTTCAAAGAAAATGAAAAAAATATTTATCCAAATAAGTTGTTTTCAAGTTAAAGGTTTGCTGTAAATGAATGCATCATATGAATATCTTAGAAAATATGTAAAGAAAGGCTGGTTACACTTTTTAATTTTTTTTTACAAAAAATATTTATGAAAATAAAACACATTATTTGTGAATATTTTTTAAATCTATGGCTAAAAACACCAGAAAGCTAGTCACAACTAAGGAAAACATGTTTGTCAATCATAACTTTAAAAGAAATTGAAACGAAATTGAAAAATATTAGAGAAATTAATTTTTTTAATATTTGGACCTAACCCGATCAAAATTAACACAAAATGAATAAAATGTTAACTTATTGCCTCTTCATGTATTTACAATAAAGAAATCTATTTTATTGTCAGGTTCAATAATGTTTTAACCCTTATCACACCTAATCAGACTAGTGTTCTTGGGGGAATATTATTTATTTCCAATAATTGTACAATTGTGGTTGGGATCGGTTTAATTTTGATCGGGATTGGCCAAAATTAAAAAAAAAATAATTTCTCTTAAATTTGGCTATTTCGTTTCAATTTCTTTTATAAATATGATTAATGAACATATTCTTCCCAGTTGTGACTGGTTTTAAGAAGATTTTAACCACAAGTTTAAAAAATATTCACAAATTACGTGTTTTATTTTCATAAATATTTTTTTATTTAAAAAAAATTTAATATCTATACGGCTTTTCTTTACATATTTTATTAGGTATTCAGGTGATGCATTCATTTACAGCAAAATTTTTACAAGAAAGCATTTAATTTGGATGTAAATAATTTTTTGAATTTTCTTTGAAAAAATACAAAAAATTCATATAAAATAATTAAGAGTTAATGCCGGCCTTTCAATGCTGAAACCATTGTTTAAAAAGGTTGACTCAGAGATCTATAAAATAAAAAGTTGGTGTGGCATT